GGATCTTCATTCACCGGATCGGCAGGTGTTGTAGTAATTACTGGTTCTCTAGTCCTCTCATTGGCCGCACTTTCCTCCTCGTCCTTCTCATCCGGTGTTGTGGATTGTGTGGTCACCCTAAACGGTAGTCTTGTCGTCATTTTTGCCACTTCTTCCGCTTCTTCTTCTGTTAACTCACCTGATGTTAAACCAATGCATTACTACATATTATTTTAACATATCTATTGTCTTACACTCTGATTCGGGAACACAAGTGTTGTTTTCGCCCTTATAGTGACCCGGCTTACAAAAGCACCCTGATGAACACCTTTCCGGTCCAAACGACATACAAAGCGTAGGGCTGTCGATGCTATCGCACGATTCCTCACACCTATTGCCGCAATCAGTGAAGTGTTCGTTGGGTTTATTGCATTCCAGGAGTGGGGGTTTGGTCTCCACCTCTTGCTTTTCACCTGTCAGTCAATGAACCACTTGTTAGCTATACTTCTTATATGAGACAAGAGATCATTACATGCGACCTCTGGAATGCAGACAGACTTGTCGTTTCTATAGAAACCTGGTTTGCAAAAGCATCCAGGTTCACATCTAATAGGACCAAACTCTATACAAAGGGTCGGGTTATCAATACTATCGCACGACTCTCTGCATTTAGTGCCACAATCTGTCATCTCCTCATTGGCGGCACATATAGGTGCGCCCATTGTTTTCATACCGTTACGGTCGGGGGCGGCCGCCCCTTCCTCATCCTTGGGTTGCTCAACAGCCGGTGCCTCACAATTACCTGCTTCGTTACGATAGAAACCTTGAATACAGAAACATCCCGTTTCGCACTCTTTGGAGGGACAGACGCTCGGATTCTTGAAGTTATTCCGGGATTCCTTGCATTTGGAGCCACAGGTGGAGTGTTCCTCATTGGGCTTACAGTTCGTCGCTTCTGTCACCACCTGACCCTCGCACTGGTCCTCCGGAACACACTTTCCGTTTTTCCTGAAATAAACGTTTGTTTAGATAATTATTAAATATAAATATATATATAAACCTATAGAAGCCTTTGAGACAGAAGCATCCCATCACTTTCTTAATACTGGGACAATTTTCAGGGTGGTTTTTATTAACACAGAGTTCCTTGCACTGACACCCGCATTTCTTAGACTTCTCAAATTTGCCACAAACTGGTCGACCCGTGCCCTCCCGGATCATCCGATTCTCTAATAAATCGCTAAAACTATCTGCGGGTGAGAAACCCGACGATATTTTGGTCTCCTTTCCTAACCCATCCTCTGTTAAGACATAATTCATACGTTAAATTGATTTGAAATCTGATTCAAAGACTTACGTGATATGACTTGATGTGCGATTAATATGATTAACAGATTAGATATTAATGTGAAATATAAATAGTTCATTATATTGAGTTAATTGAATAGAGATTCATTAAAATTTTGATTACTTTATTCAGTAATAAACAAAGTATAAGAAAAACTAATAGTCCTTATGTTTTATGAATGGTTTGTTACGAAAAATAAAAACCATTTTATATATAATTTTTTAATTAATTCAGAAATTAATTAATACTTCTAATATAATATTTTTTAAATGTATATTCTTCAAATCAAATGTTTTATATTTATAAACGTATTTGTCTGACATCTCATTAATCTTTAAGAAAATCAGTGAAACTATGAAAAATAAAATTTGTTGGCAAGTTCATTGTTTTTAAAACTGAAGCTATTTTCCATTTGAATGCAATTCCTTCTGATGACTATTTCACCAACACTATTTATAGTCGCAGCCATTGTAATCACATATGAAGAGTGAATATTTAAAATAATTATATTATTATTATATGATATAATTTATAGCAATATATAATTTATATATTATCCAATAAATCAACTCAAAAATAAATAAAAGCAATTTTTCAGAGGCTCATCTCATATTGGTCTATCAGATATAAGGTTTTGTAAATAAATTAAAATAAATAAATAAACAATTCTTTTATTTTGCAATAATTTTTATTTATTTTTAAATTATAATACTACAGTACATTTAGAAATAATATAATAGTCTATTTGATCGATAATTAAGTTTAAGAATTAATAAAACATAAAAAATTGAATATATTTAGAAATAAGAATCGTTTCAATCAATAACTTTCAAGTTCTCAAACTCTTCGGATATGTTCTCCGGGGGAATGGCATTCTCATCAGACGTCTGACCATTGATTCTCTTCTGGAACTCCTCGACGAGTTTGTCATCAATTTGTTGTTTGCATTGAACGCAAACCACAGTCTTATGTTCGTCATTGAGGGTCAACTGGAAGAGCTCTTTGAGACACAATCGGTGGTAAATGTGTCCGCATTCCAGTACTTCTGTGTCGACCAACGGCTGGATTTGACGCCAACAGAGAGTGCACTGAGTTTTGTTGCAATACTGGTCTGCCATCCAGTGTCTCATTTTGTGCCACTTCTTCGCCTGTTTCTTGCACTTCTTGGCCTCCTTTTTGGCGCACTTCTTGTTCTTCTTGTTTTGCTTCTTCTGCTTCTTGTCCTCACCGTCCGAATCACTGGAGGAGTCACTCGAGGAGCTCGACGACGATGTGTTGAGCCAATGTCGGGGTCCACCAAATCCATAGCCCCAATGCCCGCCGTGAAGCACGTGATGTCCTCCTCTGTGGCCGTGATGTCCATGGAATCCATGGAATCCATGTCCCCTACGACCCCATCCGTGATAGCCTTCGTGTGGTCCCTGACCTCCAAACAGTGCAGTGCGAGGATCAGGCTGTCCGGACATTGCTGGACACCCATGTCCTCTGGGACCCCATCCATGTCCTGGTACTTCAGGTCCACCGCCCACACCATGAGGTGACTGCAATCCATGACTGGGGCCCTCGGGGTGATGGCCCTCAGAGTGGTAGCCTTCTTGTGGTCCGTGGCTTCCAAATAGTCCACTTCGAGGATCTGGTTGTCCAGCAAACAGAGCGGGACATCCATGTCCTCGGAATTCGTGACAATAACCGTGTCTTTTGCCCATTCTGTCGACTAATTAGTAAATCAATTCAATTAATATTATCAAATATATTAATATTAAAAGTGTGATCAAAAATTGTCCAGAACACTTACTATTGAATTAAAGGTNACAATAACCGTGTCTTTTGCCCATTCTGTCGACTAATTAGTAAATCAATTCAATTAATATTATCAAATATATTAATATTAAAAGTGTGTTCAAAAATTGTCCAGAACACTTACTATTGAATTAAAGGTTTATAAAACAATTGTCACAAACAATAGTTAAAAGTTATTATAACTAAAATTGCTTGTTGTGAGAAGTTATTGAGATTCCCATATTCGTGCATCTCTTTTTATACTCTACCTGTTTGTGCTTATCATGTATTATACACTGTCTCTGTTATCTAAGAGAGCACTGGTATGCCGTGCATTGCAGTGTCACTGAATGTGATGTTGCATATATTCTGTGTATGCGTGCGAATCGCGATTATCGCGCTGTTGTTGTCTGTGATTACAGAATTGTACTCAATTGCACTATAGTATCATATTATGGTAGATATTTCAGTATATTATGTAAGCCACTAATAGTATTGTCACTTTTGATACACTAATCTCTAATTAATACTTTTAATATACATATACATACATTGAATAAGATTTACAGTATATAGTAAATCTGACCTTGGGTAGATTATACAGTAAAGACAAATAGGCAAACAATTTTCTATTTTAATAACAACTTATAACAAATATTTGTATCATTTACTTGGTAGCGTGTTTTAATTACAGACGTCTAATTTAGGAAATTAATTTAAAAATTTTATTTGTTTTTCAATTTTGGTTTAATGAGTCATTATTAATGACTCATTAAATTATAATACAAAACAGGATAAAAATTGCTATTCAACAATTTATTAGCAAGCAATAATTAACTAACGAGTAAATACCTAAATTAATATATACCTAAAATAACTAGCTTAAATAATTAATCACTTGTTATATTCACTCGGAGTGAATAACGAGTAAATACAGTATATTAATAATAAATTTTGCTTATATTTGAAAATTTTCATATTTAATTCACATATTATTTTAAGTATATTAAATTTTTTATCAATAATCTAACCACCATTTCAAATGATATAACCAATTGCATTGACCAAAAATAACTTCTCTAATTCTGTATTAATAACTAAACTTATTTAGCGATACATAAATAATTTAAGTAATAAAACTAAATTAACATCGATTTCGATGCCTTAATTTGATGTATTTACATGTAATGTCACTATTACTGGTCCTATACTGACATTGAGGTCTATGACACGAATACTTATAATAATATTAAGAATATTCTTATGAATTGTGGACTAAAGGGAACGGTTGATCACAATCGGATCAATTAGTCTGAGACTATGTTCCTTCACATTCAATACTAAACCCTTGCAGTGACCGACTGATTCGGGTATAGGATTAAAATGTATGATCAGTGATCACATTCATAATACTGTACAATATTACTGTAACTCCCAATTTGGGAGTCCCAAATATTAAATCATTTATCATAACACTATTATCGTAATACAGTACCAGGTACTAATAGGTACTAATAGGTACTTGTATTTGAATGCATGCATCAAATGCCATTCAATAGGCACTAAGAGTACAGTCCATTCATTGTTTACATTTCCACTCAAACTATAAATTTAGTTCAGTTTGTGAGTGATTTGTGTAATTGTTTTGTGGTTTCAATTATGGACGAAGTGGTGGCAAGTGATGTCCACTCCAAGAGTTGGCTATTCATTGGTGTTAACGATGTTTTCGATGAACTTAAGACAGAGAACCAGAGATTAATGAATGAGATATTGTTTGCAAACCAATTGAAAACTCATTTAATTAAAATTCACTCCAAATATGAGACAATTATCTCACCCGAAGACAAACTCGAGTTCAATGAACTGTTGCGGACACAGGAGGTGGTGACCAATGATACGTCAATTCAAGACTATTACTTGAATGGGTTGGACCTCCGCAAGAGTCCCACAAAAAAGCCTCAAAAACGCCTTAAAAGATCACAAGACGTTAATCCAAGTGATGATGGTTTGAATGAAGCCATGGATGACAAGTCATCTGAAATTTATGACAAAAACAAGAAATCAGTGAAAATGACTAAAAGATCAAAAACAGTGAAAACCATTAAAGCCTTAAAAGCTCGTGAATTGGATGGCGAGAAGTGTTTTGATTTGACCACCAATTCATACATTTGTTCCCAAAATGATTGCCACAAGTCTTACAAAACATATCTTCAGTTACTCACACACGTACAGAGAGTGCACTCAAATGACAACTATGTCTGCGATTACTGTAATAAAGGGTTTAAGTGTCAGTATTATCTGAAAGAGCACCTCAAGAACCACACGACCCCTAAGCCATTCAAATGTCATTACAATGGCTGCCAATACGAGTGTCGTGTCCGCAGAGATCTCCACAAACATATGGCAATGCATTCATCTGAGAAGCCATTCATTTGCGATGTGATTGGCTGCGGAAAGACATTCAAATACCAATCGAGTCTTTTACTACACTCGAGGAACCACTCGACGGAACCGACCGTCCGGTGCACTGTCGAGGGATGTCGTCAATTGTTTTTCAAACCCTTTGCGATGCATAAGCATAGGATTAGTGAGCATAACTTCCCGCGACGAGTGCGCCCTAAAGAGCCGATAGTGCCGTGCGATTGGCCCGGATGTGACTACACGGGCCGCGCCAGCAAACTGGTCCTACATAAGCGCACCCATACCGGGGAGAGACCCTATGCGTGCGATTGGCCCGAGTGTGGCAAACGTTTCATTAAACCTGAATATCTCAGAGACCATAAGAATATCCACAATAACCTCAAGCCGTATGCCTGTCATTGGCCGGGCTGTCAGTTTAGGTCGAGTTCTTATGGCAATTATTGGACTCATTGCAAGCAATCGCATAAATGATTGTACAGTATTTGGAAATTGTATTTTATTTATAGGCTATTAATATTGATTAGATTTATTTTATGATTATTATAATTAGATAACAATTTGTATGAATTGTATTATTCTTGAACTATTGAATTGGTTTGAAAATAAAACTTTCAATTTGAATGAATACTCGCGTATTAAATGTGAGTCCCTTTGGGTGGAAAACATTGTGTTTTGGTTTTGTGGACCGCTTTTCAAATGCATTCAAACGTTTGGTTTTGGGTTCAATTGAATGGCAGTTAAATGTGTGACTCGTTTGATGGCATTCTTCGAGTGAATTATGGGTCGAAAGAAGAGTCAGAAATCAGTGGTTATTAGTATTAATGATGTTTTGGATGAACTAAACACTGAAAACCAGAGACTTCTCAATGAGTTGTTGTTTGCAAACAAATGCTTAAATCAATTGAAAACACATTTGACTGTAATTTACGATAAATTTGAGACTATTATTGGTCCCGAAGACAGACAAGTGTTGAATGGATTGCGACAGGAATTGGTGATAATCACACACAAGACATCACCAAATAGTCAAACAAATAGTTCCGATGTCTGTAAGAGTCGGATAAATGGTCGACAAAAGAGCCAAAAGAGATCTGAACCCCAAAAAGTTTATCAAACTCTCGATGACTTGATTGCGGACACGATTGGAGTGAAGAATGAGTACTCGGATGAGAGATATGTCGAGCAAAATGTGACAACCGATGGCCATGAAGTGGTGGACACGGATTCAGATGACAAACGACTTGAGCTCTTGCGAGAGAGTCGACCGGAGAGGGAGAAGTGCTATAATGTGATGACAAAGGCCTACAACTGTCCCCTCGATTTCTGCGGCAAATCCTTTGAAATTTACGCCAAATTTTCCGATCATTTACGACACCATCACAGGAGTGAACCAAAAGTCAGTGAATACGACGACTGCAACAAAGCCTACGACCAAAAGGGATCGTTTGTGTGTCCTATCGATGACTGTCGTAAGAGATTCGCATCGGAGGCCCGTCTGGAGGACCACAACCGCGTCCACCACCACAACCAACCCTCTCATCGGTGCCCCGAATGTAGTCAAGTGTTTCAGAAGAAGTTGGAACTGCTTTCGCATCGCATCATTGAACACCACTATAAGTATGTCCGCAAACACAATAAGAACCCTCAGGAGGTTCAGAACCGCTGTCAACAGTGTCTATACTGCCGCCGAAAGTATACTTCGATGGTTATGTTGAATACACACCTGAGACAACACGCCCTCAAGAAGTCCACTAAACCCGAGTTTGTCTGTGAATTCATTGGCTGTCATAAGGAGTTTAGGGGTAAAGAAGCGCTCAGAAAACACAGACTAATCCATACGGCTATCAAAAAACATGTTTGCGATTTCGATGGCTGTGGTTATGCCTGCATCTCAAAGGGACAACTGTCCAAACATAAGTACAATAAACATTCAAATGAGAAGCCATAAAACACAGACTAATCCATACGGCTATCAAAAAACATGTTTGCGATTTCGATGGCTGTGGTTATGCCTGCATCTCAAAGGGACAACTGTCCAAACATAAGTACAATAAACATTCAAATGAGAAGCCATTCCCGTGCGATCACGAGGGTTGTGGTCGCGCCTTCAAACTGAAGTCCACACTCGATACCCATCGGTTGACGCACTCGACTGTACTGTCATTTGTGTGTAGTTTCGATGGTTGTGACCGTCGTTTCAGAACACATATCCGTTTGAACAGACATTTAGCGGTACATAACAGTGAGCCCACACTCCAGTGCGGCGCCTGTGGGCAAGCCTTCTTCACCGATGATCAGCTCCATAGACATCGAGTGTTAGTTCATAATAAGAAATATATTAAGCGAGTCAAGAACTACCCGTGCGATTGGCCCGGATGTGACTTCCAGGGCCCCAAAGGGGGACTTACGGAACATAAGACTATACACACGGGAGACAAACCTTATGCCTGTGATTGGCCCGCTTGTGACAAACGGTTTCGATTAATCGGAGGTCTAAAGGATCATAAGAATATCCACAATAATGTGAAGCCATATGCGTGTCATTGGCCCGGATGTCAGTACTGTTGCGCTAATAGTGGGAACTTAAGGAAACACTTCAAACAAGTTCACGACAAATGATTGGTTCACTAGTTTAACGAGAATACTATACAAAGTAATGAGTCAAATAAGTTATTAGACATTAAAGTTTTATATTACGTTATTGTATAATTGCTGTATTTTTGTGTACTTATGAAAAATTGATTTCAATAAATTATTTTACCGTATATGGTAATATTATTAATTGTGTTGAATTGACTGTTACAGTAACTTATAAATTATGGTTTTTATACTACTGTTATGTTTTGTAAATCGTTTAAAATTATCATTATTTGTATCTTGCTAATTAGATTTATTTTTAATTTTATGTTTTCTCTACAAATTAACGGTAATATTAGACTTAATATTAGACTTAATACAGAATTTTTACAAAAATAATCCCAATTTGAAGCGACATCTGGTATACAAAGCAATGACTGAATGGTTTGTATTCGTGCGCCGAGAGGGCAGTGAATGCGTTGAGTAGTGCTGTGAACGCCATTGCATTCAAGCATTCATTCAATTGTATTGTGAATACATTCGCGGCTTTTCTCTCAATACAAACCTTCACTCGCAGTGCACTCACTGTACAGTCATTTCAAGACATATTTACCACTCTTTTAACCGCAGATTAACGCCGCAAACCATCAGCGATGGCAGACAAAGACGCCGGTAAGCCAGTCATGACACCACCACAAGGTGCCAATCAGTTGATCCCACGTCTTAAGACATTAATGTGGCGGCATTTTAGCGCTTAAGCCATTGATGTAAGCAATGTAGCCATTGATGGTGTCTTTGGCACTCATTAGTGATACAGACATTAGTGTCCACAATATGCTGTCCATTATCATTATGTGGTGGACACCTGTCCGCTATTTTCAAAGACGAGATCAATTGATACCATACTTGCCATTGATTTGCATATCGTTTGATTAACTGATAACACGATTGTCTGTCTCTTGGGATCAGTTGAGGAGAGAGTGATTAACGAAGAGTACAAGATATGGAAGAAGAATACGCCGTTTCTGTACGATCTGGTGATGACTCACGCGCTCGAGTGGCCGTCACTGACCGCCCAATGGCTGCCGGATGTGGTCCGACCCGAAGGCAAAGACTATTCCATACATCGCCTCATTTTGGGCACTCATACCAGTGATGAACAAAACCATCTGTTGATCGCTTCCGTTCAGTTGCCCAACGAAGACGCCATGTTTGACGCCTCCCATTACGACTCCGAGAAGGGAGAGTTCGGCGGCTTTGGATCCGTTTCCGGTATGTCTTACCATTCATTCGGTGGCAGACATTGTGTGTCTTTACCCCCATTTTATTTGCTTTGAAAATACTTAATACTTCTGAGAATTGTAGCCATTATTATGAACTGATATCTTGTGTCCACTCCAAGACAACTGATCTGATTGTGTGCTCTGAATGTTTAGGTAAGATAGAGATCGAGATAAAGATCAATCACGAGGGTGAGGTGAATAGGGCCCGGTTTATGCCCCAAAACCCGTGTATTATCGCCACCAAAACGCCGTCGAGTGATGTCTTGATCTTTGACTACACGAAACACCCGTCAAAGCCGGACCCGAACGGCGAGTGTGCGCCAGACCTGCGGCTCAGGGGTCACCAGAAGGAGGGCTACGGTCTCTCATGGAATCCCAATCTGAACGGACATCTGCTGAGCGCGTCGGACGACCACACGATCTGCTTGTGGGACATCAACGCCCCGGTGCGCGACAAGAACATAGAGGTCACCAGAAGGAGGGCTACGGTCTCTCATGGAATCCCAATCTGAACGGACATCTGCTGAGCGCGTCGGACGACCACACGATCTGCTTGTGGGACATCAACGCCCCGGTGCGCGACAAGAACATAGTGGACGCCAAGACTATATTCACGGGACACACGGCAGTGGTGGAGGACGTGGCCTGGCATCTGCTCCACGAGAGTCTCTTTGGATCCGTTGCCGACGACCAGAAGCTGATGATATGGGACACCCGGTCGGCCAACACCAACAAACCGTCGCATATAGTGGACGCACACACGGCTGAAGTGAATTGTCTGTCGTTTAACCCCTACTCTGAGTTCATTTTGGCGACGGGTTCGGCCGACAAGACGGTGGCGCTCTGGGATCTCCGCAATCTTAAGCTTAAATTGCATTCGTTTGAGTCACACAAGGATGAGATCTTTCAGGTCCAGTGGTCGCCACACAATGAGACTATACTGGCCTCCAGTGGCACCGATAGGCGCCTCCATGTGTGGGATCTGTCGAAGATTGGAGAGGAACAGTCCGCTGAGGACGCGGAGGACGGACCGCCCGAACTGCTGTTCATTCACGGCGGACACACCGCTAAGATTTCCGACTTCTCCTGGAATCCCAACGAGCCGTGGATTATCTGCTC